TTTTTTGTTGGTTGTTTTTTTGACTGGATTCAAGTTTGTCCCAAGAAATTTCATAGCTGCATCCTGAGCTGTCTCCCCAGCATTTCTGATTAGATTGTTTAATCATAAAACATTAATAATGAATAAGCAGCAAAATATACCTGTACAACAGAGTCCAGAACACTACAGTGTTCCTATTAAGTTGTTCATGTGACAGACTTGTCAATGTGAAATCTTGAAATAAAGCAAAAACTTCACATACTAAAAAAAAAAAAGGAAGAAATAATAATTAAAAATTCTAATTATTGTCACAGGTATATATGTATTTTTTTTTTAAACACTTCCGTGATTTACAAAATGCAGCAGGTTAAATGCTTGTTTCATGTGTTTCGTTTTGTAACAGTAAAATGGTAAAATGAGGCAGTAATACATTTTATTTTGTGGTCACTGTGACCCTGGAAAGACAACCGTGACTAATTACATTGAAGTTATTCTAAGGAGACACCTGACATCATTCATATCTTTTTAAATATCACTGAGCAAATTCAGAAAATGTTTTTAAAACTCAACACCCTGAAGCCCACCCAGAAGATCCTATTCCTACCATAAGCTCTTATTCCTACTACTTAAGTATGAGAATCGCTTATATTTCTGTAGATTACATACAATAAGTTACATTGAATGTCTTTCAGATAAAGGTGATGAATTCAACATTAATACTCTGCTGAAGCAGAAAGCAAGAGGCAAAAGTCAACTGCTAACACCCAAGTACAGACAGTGTTTATCTCTTCTTGCGACATGATTCTTGAAATTGCAACAAATACCACTTCAGGGTCATCATCCCTCAGAAGAGAGACATTCCATTCCAGAATCTCTGTAATCTCATCCTTTGTCAACAGGATGCATCTTACTGCTGTACAAAATTCAGTGCTTAGAGGTCAGAGTCAATGTAGAGGATACTCTGAAGATTTGTGGAAGCATATTACTCAGTTGGTAAAACATTTCCTCAGAAATTGTCTGGAAAAAAATAATAATTAAAAAAATACACCAGTAACCTTTGGCTTTTTGCTGTAGTTTCATAGAATCATAGAATAGTCTGGGTTGGAAGGGACCTCTAAAGGTCATCTAGTCCAACCCCCCTGCCGTGGGCAGGGACATCTTCAACTAGATCAGGTTGCTCAGAGCCCCGTCCAGCCTGACCTTGAATGTTTCCAGGGATGGGGCATCCACCACCCCTCTGGGCAACCTGTGCCAGTGCTTCACCACCCTCAGTGCAAAAAATGTGTTCCTTATATCTAGTCTAAATCTACCCCCCTTTAGTTTAAAGCCATTCCCCCTTGTCCTGTCACAACAGGCCCTGCTAAAAAGTTTGCTGCCATCTTTTTTATAAGCCCCCTTTAAGTACTAATAGGCTGCAATAAGGTCTCCCCGGAGCCTTCTCTTCTCCAGGCTGAACAAGCCCAACTCTCTCAGCCTTTCTTTATAGGAGAGCTTTGGAAGAATTTGGAAGAATTAAGTCTCTCTCAACTTTGTTTCTTGACATTTAAGAGAATTGCTGTTTTTCAGAAGGCCACAAAGATCATTTTCAAACTATGTGTTATAATTCTTTTTAATTCAATCAAGAGGAAAAGATGAACCTAAAAATACTGTTTGTGTATTTATGTGACATACCTGTTTCCAGCAGATTTCTTGTTCTAGTAATTGATTATTTCTGCCTAGCATAAGCAGGACAGTGCTGTTTGTTATCTACAGGACTCCTGCTCTCTGAATTCCAGAATTACATTCAACTTTACTACTTAGTTTGTTCTTGGCTTCCTCCTTGCTCAGCCATTTACTACTTTGTCAAGAAATATGCGTTATTTCTTTCCTAACATAACTCCGATTCTTACATTACTTCCAGTACTGCTTTTTAGAAGAAATAAAACTTAGTGCTGGCCACCTTTGGAAAACTTCCTGTCTCTGAAGATCCGCTAGAACTCAAATCACTTCAGAATCTTAATTACAATTAACTTCAAATACCTAGAGTCATTAATGACTTTGTGGAAGCATGACTGAACTCAGTGCATACTGTTCGACAATATGACTAATAAACGCCTAAACTTATGTAATGCAAGGTTAGCCCATCTCTTCAGAGTAAATAACAGCAAAAAAGTATCTTTTTCAAAGGTGATGTATTCACCATTTGTAAAGATGAACTTCCCACTTTGAAATTTTAGCATCCTCAGAAGATACTACAGGATATCCAAAAATATTAACCCCTCTTATTCCTGTTTTATAGGCAAGGGACCAAAACCACAGTGATTAATTTAAGCTTACACAAAAAGAGCAGGGCATAGCAAAGAAATCAAAACTAGATCTGCTGACATTTAACTTCTTGTTCCAACGGTCTCCTACGTTAGACATGAACTCGGTTTAACGTACCTGTGGTACCAAGAACTGTACAGTCCGAGAAATTCCTCCATCCCATGAGGCCATTTCCATCATGAAACCTAAAAAACAGCATTCATACTATATGCATTACCTATGCAATCTTCCCCGTCAATTACACCGTTATCAAGCAGTGAGGGAGTTTTCACATACAATTAGGATTTTAACTGCCTTAACTAGGGATGTTGTTAATTGCATTTAAATCAGACTTGGCCAGTCTCCTGACTGAAATCTGCTTTAACTGGAAAATCTAATGAGGAGTTATGGAGAAAATCAATATACCCTTGAAGAGCAGAATAAGCAGTCCTACTGTACAGCAGAGTGCTAGCCAGCAGAAGCGAGAGGTTTGTCCAAATATGCGTGTTATGAGTTCTTTCAATGGCTTGCTTTCATTGAGAAATAGCTCTTTCCTTTAGCTCTGATGTGATCACATCCATGTGAGCAAGTACAAGCCTGTTGCCAAAAGTACACTGACAATCTGGCAGCAACAGAAACTACCTGGACTTACTTATATGGAAAAAGCTCCGCGCTCCTTTATTGCTTGAGTTAAGATATGGCATTTTTATGCTAGCATTTCCTTACAAATGAACTACAAGGTCCACAGGAACACACTAGTGGCAAATAAAGATACTCAGAAAAATACTTGTTTAACAAAAGTGGCTACGTGGATGATATTCCATTGTGAATTACTAAAGGTCACAATAGGAAGAGGTTCCTCGAGTAGGTGGTAGAAAGAACATCAACACTACTAACATTTTAAATACTCTAAATGACTGGTTCAAGTATTTAAGTGCAATACACAAGAATGCAGTAAATAATGCCACTTGGAAAGACAGAAAACCAAGTTGAGTCATGAGGACTTTCCAGCAAATTAGCATATAAACTAGTCTTGGAAAAATGTGGGGAGTCCTTATTGTTTGAGGCAATCAAAATACAAAAGACGCTGGAAATTATACTGTAGAGAACCACCAGCTCTTGCCCTCCTTCAGAGATTGCTCAAAGCAGCAGTAAGGGCTTTTTCTTCTACTGTCTACGTTTAAGTTGTAAAGACACTTTTAAAACATTTTTACTCTCCATTTAAGTGTCTGAGACTATTTCCTGGTAGGACAGTTAATCATTTTAAAGAGACAATATAGGTGTATGTTTTAACAGATGATAAATTATTGAAAAACACCTTTTTTGGGGAAAATATCTAGCTAAGGCTAGATGTCACCAAACGCAACACAAAAAAACCCCAGCTGAAGCATTCACTAACATACCTTTGACACACTTGAACACAAGCTCTGCCCTCTTCAAGCACCATGGAATGGTCATTTCCTAAAAATTAATAAATGAAAAGCCTCAATGTCCAATCGATCTAACCAACAAGAGTAGCAGGGAAGTTATTAAAAATAATACATTTTTGCCATAGAACCACGTTTTCCCATCAGGTGTTCAAGCAGCATTACAGGCCACGAAGAGGGTTCAGTTCTCCCAGAGTATTCTAGGCAGGTGGTATATACCTTACAGGTGACCATAAAAGCACTGCAACTGCTTATTGGTAGGAGAGCCCAGCGTCAGAACAATCTATAAATTTTTAATCTGCGATGTTGAATAAAAATATTGTTGACAATCATGTAACTGGAAATGGGTCTATTTAATTCCCCTGTGGAGCTTCAGAAAAACGTATAATATCCAATGGATAACTGTTAGATTTGTGCTTCAGCTAGCCAAAGATAGGCTCCTGACCACATCTTAACAGCAGTAAGTCATGATTCCTAGCTATTCTTGATGATTCCGGTTAAGGTTTATTGGCATACCCACCGCCTTCAGTAAAAACCTTCTCTCTAATACTGGAACCAGAAGAAGCCCTTCTCCCCTAAAGACGCATTTATGTTAAAACAAACAAAATCCATCTTCATCTGATGGAGGAGTTTCAGATATAAAGAGATAGCAAATTCTTACCTAAAGTTAAATACCAAGATGGGATACGAAAACCACACTGCTTTAAGATATCTTAAGACGTGGCTACAAGCACTGGTCTAAATAATTTAAGTAACAGTTTAAATGCTTTAGTACATTAAACATTCTTTGGCTGTATGCTACAAAAGGAAATATATCAAGATGAATATTCCTAGTCAGAGACAGAATGACTGTCACTGTAAACACTTCTCAGAAAGAAAATAGCACCTATTTGTTCTGATGTACTTGTCAACATCAAAATGAGCACTGTCTAGTCTGAATACAGGAATATAGATGTGGAAACAAATTTATCATTCTATGTACCTTTTCAAATTTACGCTTTACATAATTTTCCATTTGGTAAAGCCAGCCTTTATTTTGCAATGCCAAACACTGTGCAATCTGTCATTTTCAAAGAGCTTAATTTCAGTATTTAAAAAAAAGTTATTTGAGAAGCAACGTTACCTAAGAATGCCAACTGATAACACTGAAACAGTATACTGAACGTGGCTGCATTAAACAACTACTGAAAGCCAAAGTTCCTACTTCGGTAGGAATACCTCCTGCCATCCCCAAAATACGTAATACGTTAAAAACAGCATAAGCTAGAAATGTCTTTTCAGAAAACTGTCTTTCACGATGTAAATCACTGCATCAATAGATGCTGCTTTTAGGGTATACAAAACATTAGTCAGACAGAACAGCTTTTTTTTTTTTTTTCTTCTCATTTTTAAGCATTTTGGAAGAAATACTTGGTCTTTGTTATAATTTATCTGCCTATGTGTGCTTTCTGTCACAAGTAATGTAGGCGTTTATTGTTAGTTTTGATCACTGTTTTGGCTTAGGTAAAAAACAAGCGTCTAAAAAGAAAGGTCCTGTTGCTCCGAAGGCAACTCAGGAGTACCTTGCGTAATCAATGAAGGGAACTAAGCCTTAAAAGGACTGATCAAAACAGCAGGATATGACACTATTCCTTGGACTATTTCAGAGGAACATAGATGTTAAATCTTGTGGGCACTCAGGGAAATAACAGGTTGAATCCAGAATGTCACTGCGTGCAAGCCACAAGAACTGAAAATGACACAGTAGTGATTCAATTCTAATCCATCTTTAAAAATCTAAGTTCTCATGATTTGGCCATGTTATCAGGATTTTTCTCTATATGCAAACTAAGCAACAGTTTTGGAAATGATAAAGGATCGGCTAAGTACCAATTCAAAATACAGTGCAGGGGATAGGAAAAAAAAAGCAAACACCCCATCTCCTATAGTGAGTTTTGGTTAATAGTATTCAAGCAAGTAAAAAAAAAAACCAAAACACCTGGGACTTTTTGTTTTGTTCAGTAGCAGAGACTACACCTCACTCCTTTTTAGGATGCAATGAGTTGTTGTCAAATTAAGATTTCTTCTGCTTGTTAAAAAAAAAAAAAAGGCCAACTTCACTGATCAGAAAGATACGCTGCAAACCTTTTTATTCAAACAAATTAGTGACAGACTCACTACATGGGGATGCCACTTTTATAAAGCTAAGGGCTTGCGCCTTTACAGAACAATGTCATAACCAGGTAATGAAAACACTAAAGTCCATAAATGTCTTGTGGGACAAAGATTTCAAACCAAATTTCAATGGTTAATTTTAGTAAGTTAAGAATTAGGAAGATGTTTACTCAAAGTATATCTATGCAAACCCTAAACACTGTATGAGCAGCTATACCTTTAAAGGCAGAAAACTCAGATGAGAAATATTTGAGGTTAACACACCCATCAATAATCTCTCTATATACATAAACCATGTTCATAAACATTTGTTACACAGCTTATACTTCCTTCATTTCTACTTTTCTTCAAAACATTTTTGTCTTAACTTATGGTAATAGAGACAGCTGCCTGAGATCCCTGAAGAGTCACATTTTTCTCAGTGTTGCTGTGTAGACAGCAGCAATGGCTCCTATGTTGAAATTACCAAGGAAGTGTGCCAGCTCGAGCTTTAGTGATGCCATGCTATTACAGCCATTTCATTCCCCAGTTTATGTATCAGTTTATAGCAGATTCAGAACAGTGATCAGACAGTAACGCCTCAGTTGTCCTGAATTTGAACTTGTCTGCTTTTGCCTTTCTCAAGTATCAAACCCAGTTTCTTTCCTTCACTTAACTTACTGATCAGAACAGAGAAATCTGTTTTTATTATTTTCATCACAAGAAAAACTAAGGAAAACAGAATTCCTAATTTTTTTTCCATCGAAAAAAATTAGCTTTATATGAAGGTCCAATAATAATGAAATGTAATGGCTTTATTGAAATCGATACACTCATTACTTCTGTGAGTTTATAAACACCACTCTTCCATCCATAAAAGAAGAAAACCTTTGGGTAAAGCACAGAGAAAACTCATGATGAATGCCTGTCACAGTGAAGCATGCAAACATCTCTGCAGCTGTGCTCCTGGTTAACCACTTTACAAAAATGTTTTTATGTAGGTGGTAAATGCAGATTCAAAACTGGGGCTGCTGAAGGCACCAAGTTCAGCCTAACTTTCAGAAATCTGTTATTACTCACTTTTCCCTCAACAACAAGTTACATATGCGTGTGTTTCAAATTAGAGCAGCCAGCTGCAAAGCACTGTAATAAGCAATACTGCTAATGCAATTCATACAATGCAGTTTTGGCTAAACATACACTTATCATACAGGTCACTTTCTGCTTACTCTGCAGACTGAAAACTTAATATGAAAGGTAAATTGTTTTACCAGGACCTTTTAAGAATCCAGCGCTAGACAAGAAGATAATTCTTCAGCTTCACACATCCAAGCCACCACACACTCTCAAAGCACGTTGAACACTTGGTCTTGTGCTTTATTTGTATTTTAAAATACAGATATGCAAATGAAAGCTAAAACTAATAAGGTTTAAAGAAGAAAAGAAAGAAAGAATATAGTCCAATGGCAACTTGATTTAAGAAAAAAAGGTCAATAAATTTATGAAATACAGTAACTGGGTCCCATGAGTAACCCAGGTGGCTGTCCTGCAAATTGATTATTTGCATTTCTGCCCAAAAAAAGGTCTTGATACCAGAGACAAAAAATTTCAGAAATAATGCCATCTGTTCCTAAAAGTCTACTTTTATGTATGGAAGTATATTCTTTAGAAGCTTCATTACTAGACATTTTTAACTTTTGCATTGCTTGCACTTTCACAATAATAGACCCTGATCTTGCAAAAGGGGGCTGCTTCTACACTGTGTTCCAATGAAATTCTGTTAAAAAAAAGTCACTGTTAAAGGTAATCCACTGGTGAGCCGTTATCTTGCTATGAGCCAGGCACTTTCAAAGAAGGAAAGACAGTATTGAAATTTAAAAGTGAAAAATCAAAGGGCTATTTAAAAAAACCCACAACAGACTATAATTATCCATGCAAGGGTATCAGTAATGGCAGCATTATCTTCTTTTTCTCATTTCTTTAAGTTTATAGACTTTTCACCTCCTAAGGAGGTGAGGCATATGGTTGTACTGCCTGTCCACCGGTTCTCTCCCTGCCTCCTCACACCCTTTTCTTCTCTGCTAGTATCTTGTGGGCCAGATGTGACAGAGGAAAGAGATTGTCAACGGTATTAAATTATTATGCACTATGAAAAGTTACAGTGGAGTAAGAGACAAGCTCTACACATTAGTGTCCCACTGAAGAAGAGAATACAAAAGCTCAGCACAATAAGTAAGCACATCTATATCTACAAAGAGCCTCAGCAATGTGCTGCTTCTTGCCCAGCTGGTATTTGAGGGACTTAGAGAGAAAATGGACAGAAATTAAGGATGCAGGTGATTAGGCAGTGAAGAAGGAGACAGTTCAGAGCAAAGGTGAAATTTGGTTGCTGCTGCGTAGGGCTGAAGTGGTGTTTAGGGATACAGAACTCTAAGCCAAGCTTTGCTAGTTCTGCTGCTCATAAAACTTAGTTTTAAGGTCTTCTAACTAGCGACAATTAAAACCGTGGATCTGCTATCACCATCACATCGGTGACTCTGAAGGTATAGTTTCTAAGCAAGAGCTGTTGCCAGAAGACTTCCAGGCATGTAGTTAATGGAAAAAACATAAAAACATCTTTCATTAATACTTGTGCAACTGTGCAATGAGCTGGATCAAGGAAGTGAAGCGTCCAAAATGCGGGGTGGGAATAAAAAACCAAAGTGATTCAGCTGGCTGAAATGTTTTTAACTGGTTCAGTTCCTTAATTTGTGTCACCATACAGATACGAGTGCCAGAACAATGATGTGGCAGGAGCCTGTGACCAGGATAAACTGTCCCATTTGGCTTAAACCAGCATGGGACATACCCATTGCAAAAATCACTTTTGTTGCATCCTAGAAGATAAAAACAAACAAAATCTTTACATATACTTACTTCTGACATATCGTGCACCAATAGGAGAGGAATACTAATGGTAGTAATGTCGTGTGTGCAGCAAACTTTGAGAATGTTTCTGAGTCCCATGATTGCAGGATCACGAGCAGTTATGTTACCGGATCTTACATTATCATCCACACACAGGTGAAAAGCAACATGAATTTCAGAAAGATTTGAATGGCGTGTGATGTAGAATTCTCCTACAGAATAATATAAACCAAGAAGGCAAGATATCATGGTAGTGATCTGTACTGAAATACAGTTGTTAGGCAATACAAGGATAGGGTCAGTTAAGACAAAAGACAAATACAAATATACAACAGAGATCGGAACACAGACATAAGAAGATAAAAAAAAAGTTAGAAACCAACTGATCTAAAATCTCTTGGAATATCATTGTTTTGCATTCATCCTACACTCACTTCCCTGCTTTGATGGGTTTCACTGGCATCACAGACACCTCGTGTAATAAGACATAATAGTGCCAGTACAGGCGGATATGATCTATATATAGCACGAAACAGAAAAACAAACACAGCGGAGCTGTAATACTCAAAATATATAATGTAAGCACTGAATTGCAGACAGATGTGGGAGGCGGAAATACCAAAAATGGATGGGTTAAAATAAAGGATGCAAAAAGTCTGTGGAAAAAGATAGGGGGTTATGTAACAACTGAGATACGTACTGGAAGACAAAGGTATCAATGACCATTAGAATTTAAAATAATTCATAGTAACGGGAAGATTAGTTACGGAGTTGTTTTCAAAAAGTTACCAAGACATCTTGTTGGGGGTATTTTTAGACTTGGTATTCATTTATCAAAAGGTAGAGAAAGAGTAAGGGGCAGTGAAATGCAGGTGTCTCCATTTTGCCTTTCTGCTGGAGATCAAAAGTCTATACTACAGTCAACAGAAAAGCAGGTATGTAATAGCCCTACTGTCTCAGTCAACAGATAAACATCTTTCTTCAAACCTATTTTCACTGGTCATTTTAGTTAAGATACTACCCTTGTACTGGGACGGCTAAAGAATGGGTATGTACTCCTTTCTGATGACTGCTAAGGAGGTGGTAATCCCTAGCAATGACCATCTAAGAGTAGTAATACAGAAGCCACTGCAGCAAGATTCACCCGAATTTATCTGTTAAGGACCCAAGTTGATTTATAATCCACTTATACTAACAAGAGCCAAGGCAATCATGAAAGCAATTTTAAGAAGCCCTCTTATTCCACCATGGGTTGTATGGATTTAACTCCTTCCCCCTCCAACTGTGTATTCATCTTCAAATTCCACAGAAGCTTTCCTTACTAAAAATCACAATATATACAGAAGATACTTCCCCTTTGAGAGGAATGGATTTGTACATTCTCAAAGTTAAAAAATACATTCTAAAATGCTTTACTGTATCACAACAGTGACATACATATAGTTATTTTAAAAAATAAAATTAGTTGCTAGTATTTAAGTTTCACCTTTTCCCAAGATCCTCAGAGATCTTTTTTTCACCCTCAAATTCTGAAAAGAAATTTTAGGCATAGAGAAGTTATTTGCCCCAAGTCACATGATGCAGTGGCAAAGCTGGGAATAGAAACCAGATGTCCTGACACCCAGTTCTCTGCCTTAGCCACAAGAACATCCTTCTCTTCTGATTGAGGTCAACTCAGGTTTAGTTTATAATTTATGTTCTGACTTTAGAGCTAAAAATGTGCATCTATAAAACACAATTTGCTTTAAGAAGAGGGGGAAAATGCAACAGAACTTACCCGGCAAAATATTTGACTGGTTTCGTTCAATATTCTTTAATTTATCTTCATTTCCACTAATTTTGTTTTCTGTATATAAATACATAGCACAAATATTAAACATATCATCTATTAATTACGCTTTGGCATGAAAGTTTGATATACTGAGATAATATCTGGCTTAAATTTTTACCATAAAGTCCCCAAAAAGCAGGGGGATGGACAGGAAGTGTTTTTGCTATCTTCAATAGACACTGAACTGAATCCTATCTCAAATCATTAGCTTTCTTATTTAATCATCCTACAATACCTCTTCATTTGGACAAAAGAAAACACAATATCCTCAAACATAATACTAAACTTTCCAAATTGCCCCCCCAACTACATAGTACGTTGCTATTGCTTTTTAAATAATGTAACTATTTAAAATGAATTTGTTCCTAGTTTTACAAGAAAAAATTTAGAGATTTACATAAATCAGCAATATAAAAACAGCTTTCAGTATTTTCCTCAAGACTACAGCAATATGCAGGTTCCTAAGAAAACTTGTTTCTCTATGTACTCTTATGAATCTATTCATGTTACTGACGTATTTAAACCACATAAGTAGTTCTCTGCAACAAAAACAGAGTTTCATGATGTACGAGTACTGCCTTAACACCATGTGGTCAGAAAATTTCACAGCCATTTGTAAATATAACTGCAAAGCAAACCATTCACAAGGATTTGGTCAGCACTGAAAAGTGTACACATTTAGTCAATTTATTATTCAGTTTTTAGTGTTCACTTATAAAGGAAGGGAAAAAGTCCTAATTCCTCTTCTGCAATTTTTAAAGCTTTACATTTAAATAGAAATAATCAAGTCAAGTCAGGCAAAGTCTGTGTTGCTACAGACAGCTTAAACTGCAGAGGAAAGCACAATGGCTTTCCCATGCTTTTCCCACGCTTCCCATGCTGTTAAAGTGTGATCAGAACCTAAGGACTTATACTTTTCTTTTTTGGGGGTAAGGTATGTCTGTTATGGCAGCAAAGATATCATGTGAACATGCTGCCTGTGAAGAGAGAATTTCATGCAGACTTCTCACAGTTTATCGATAAACTAGAACATCCCATTTCATAGATCAGGTAACTGAAGAACAGTGAAATTAATTTTCCCGTAACCATAAACACTCAGCTGACCACTATTCTATTTCAAGGAAAGTAATTTTGGTTGTCACTGACCATGATGTCTTTTCGACTTACTGCTACGCTGTGCTCTGGCCTTAAGTACAACCTTCTGGACAATTTCAAGCTGTTCTTGAATTCCAGGAAAATGGAAATCCGTGCATTCTTGGCAAACAGTTGCAAAATCTAGGGGGGGGAAAAAAAAAAGAAGAGATTAAAATCCACATCATAAGGATGTGCTTAGAAACATTACATAATTCTGCTCTACTGTTCAAGCAAGGCCAGTTACAAAGGCACACCCCAACCCCCAACCCCCTCCAAAACCAGACAAAGCCCTGCTGTACTCCTCTTTAAATTCTAAAAAAATTATGGCAGAGACAAAACTTTTTTTTGAAAGAAATTAATTGCTTGGGGGGGAAAAAAAAAGCAAAACACAACCTTGAGTACTGCTGTTTTTCAAACAAAACTACCCCAACCAAAAAAACCCCAAAATAATAGCAATAATATATGTGTATTAAATGTAATTGTGCTTTAAAAATGATGTCTTATTACTAACAGTCCTTTAATCTGTGATACTTTATTAAAACATACATAATAGATACTCCAACAGCAACAACAGCATTCTAGTTTGTTTTGAAAAATGAGAGCTATTAATGAAATTTATCAACAGTGTATCTGGAAAGCTGGAATTACAGTTCTTTCCTTTTAGTTCTCAAAACACAGATCTGAAAGCTAAAGAAAAGTGTCATCAGCTGAAAAGAGCTGCAAGTTCCTTTTCCTGATAAGCAAGTATTATGTTAGACTTCGAAATATTATACTGATATTTAGGATCATAACATATTGCCTCTGTGACTGGTATTCTAAGCCCCTTATGCTAATGTCCAGCTGTCTCTCAAAGCAAGTCAACAGGAGGCAAAACAAACCATTAGCTATGAGCTGGACTATACTAAGCAATTGCTACTTACTTCCTGTTTTGAGGTACCTGCTCTAATCCTCCTTAAAGTTCTTAATGTACTCTGATTACCTATCTGGAGAGCACTGTATACTCCTGTGAACAGGCTGCGACAAGAACAGGCAGGGTAGAGAGGAAAAATCTTAATGTATTTTATCTTTTTATATGAAGTCTCCATCATAAAATCTGTTTTCAAAAGACTTTATTAAATTCTGGTGTACAAAATCAAGGGAAAAAGAAGCTCATATTCCAAAAGATTGTGTCTTCTGTGTGTATCAACATAAAATATGGTCACAAGACATTTTATTTGAAACAAACAAATGAAAAAACTCTTATATTTAAATTAAAATTAACTTCAATTTTAGTTTATCGTTCCTCTGAGTGTGCTACACCTACTCAAAACCCGAGTCATTAGCCCTACAAAGTCCTAATATGAGAGACTTGAGCTAGGCAATGCATAAAGTATATAAAGAAACTATTCATCTAGCTTAGAAAAAATAGTCTGAATGAAATGTGCATGTTGAAAGTTCATACATAAGTTCAACTTTCTGTTTAAGGATGTTTTCTAGAGATGTGTCCAAAAGCGATTTCAAAGGTATATTTTGCTAGTTGCCATTTACACATTGTAAGAAATACAGAAAACATTGCAGTCGTGGTTTTCTGTCTGGCAAATACCTCACATACATCCTGAATTTTGAGACAAATGGAACCATTTTTGGATAACAGATATACCAAAGATGCAACATCAAAATGTTGCAACAGAACTAACAAAATACACTAAATGAAGCACATTCTTAAGCTTCCTCAGGATAGAGCTAAACAAACAAGGTCAACCAAGTAAGCTGCAGGACTTCGTACAACTGGAGCCCCTCTCTGTTTAGTGCTTGCCGAGTGATTGCTGTTGCTCAAAACAACGTAAAATGCTTGGATAAACAGTGTGCTCACATGAAGCTCATTTACTCCAACTACCTTTGAAAATCTCACAGAGGTTTGAAGGAGCTTCTAGCCCATCACAAAATAAAGCCTATTAGGTTTGTATTTTTCCCCAGCTTTAAAACAGAAGCAGAAATTGTTTCTGCACTTTTGTAATCCAGAAATTTAGACTGCACAAGCCACTACCTCTCTATTTAAACAATAGCATCGATGTATTATTTAAAGGTCTTTTATATAGCAGTTTTATGAACCTTTGAACCCCCTAGTGTATTTATTTCTTAAAGAGCCTTTTAGGAAGGAGAATTGGTTCTGGCTAGTGATCTTGCAACAAACAGCTTTAACAGTTTAAGAGCAAAGTCTCCTCTCAAAGGTGTTTATTACTGCTCTTCTGCCAGAAGCTACCACTCTCACCACAGAGTGGATTTAAAGAAATGTGCCCAAACCTCAGCTGCCGCCTATAGTGGTTTGGGGTCTCAGTACAACCAGACATTCGCTGACGGTTTAAAGCAATATATCTGATTAGGTCAGAGGAGCTGAGAAACATTCATTTCTGCAACATTTTTAAAAAGAATGGTGGTACAGACAGCTGTGGAACATGCCCGCAGTTAAGTTCGCCAAAGTCCCTTCGGAACTCAAAGAAATCAAAACATATTGAGGATTATATTTTACAGATTGTGATACAGTCCCTTATTATCTGTGGCTGCAAGATCTAATTGGTGGGTAGAAGATGCCATTTTGTGTTTAACAGTATTACTTAAATGTCCATCTTCTCTTGTCACCTAAGATTTAGTATAAAAACAAATCTTCTCTATTTGTTATTAATTTAAATATTTAAGCAGTAAAAAAAATAAGTAACTGAAAATGAGTAAAGTGTGAAATAATATTGTCAGAATTAAGCAACTTGGAAACCATAAACAGCACAAATGCAACTGCAATTTTTACTGATACACTTCTCTTCCCTTCTTGCTACAAGCCTGATTCCACACTGTTTTCAGAGAATATCAACACCAAAGTCTATTTTTTTTACAGCACGCTAGAATGATGACAAGGAGTAGTGGCTCCAGTCAAAAAGACATGTCAAGTGTAAATATTTTGGTATTAAAGTTCAAGAGGAAGGTGGGAAAGTCAATGATGTGGTTCAGAGAAAGCCTCGGTGACCAAAATTGGAACAGGAACAAACACGTTTCATTGGTTAACCTTGATACAAAATACCTTCATCATAGTGTCCAGTTACTCAAAAGACATGCACTTAAAATGGCTGCTAATCAAGCTTTCCAGGAGTAGGCAAGTAATATTCCTATTGTTCATTTTTAATGGAAGTCATAGTGCTGCAGATATCTAAAGTACATGGCATTTTTATACATTTACTTATCAATTTAAAATCTTAGCGTATTTCATTTTCATCTTTGCAAACGGGTTTCAGAATGCTAAGCTGACACTGGAAAGTTAGAAGCCCCTACTGATAATAAGTCGGTCTAAGGCAGGGAAATCAACATTGAAGCATTCACTCTAGCACGTTCCTTATTCAAACACAAAACCTAGGAAAGAGATGACAGATGTAACACCACAACTCTGTCCCCAACCCTTATCCATATCTCTTTTTGCATTTGTTACCGTGTCCAAAACATCAGGGTCTCCAGTAAATTTTAATTTTACAGGGAATATTTTTTGTGAGAGAAGACAGCAAGTTTAATTGACATTCATTTTCACTGACACGATATACCCCATTAGAGGACTCACCTCTTTTGATGCCGCTATATGAACTGATACGGTTATCTACCAATAAAACCAGGCCACAGAGAGAAGTTGAATAGAGAGACATTGCAGTTTGAAGTCTGTGAAGTTTTACTCCACTTCGATGATTGCGCTTATGTTTACAGAAATCCAGCATATCGGCTCTCAGTAATCTCAAGTTATGCATGGTCTTCAACTGAGCTCCTGTGCGGAATATAAATTATTTTAATACATACAGTAAAAGAGGAAACTCAGGATTGTTATTAAAATGCAAGGGATCAAAGTGCTCCTGTAAGTTTTGTGAAAAAGATCTATAAGGGAAATATAATCAATAATGCTCAAAGGAAGTTCTTAACCATATATTCAGTTTTACATACATATCAGCAATTTACAAAATAAGAGTAAAAATGCAATATTTTCACATACTGTCACAAAGCAAGGCTTATCTATAGGCAAAATGAGCCTTGTTCCCTATTATAATGCTATGGATGAAATACTAATGCAGTCAAAACAGACAGTGTAAGAAGTCTCTGTTGCATAAACAAAAAGTAAAAACTTTAAGCATCTATTCTTCTGTTAATTTATCGTGGGAATTGAATTCAATACCCACATTTTCTTACCAAACATAAGAAAAGTTAAAATATAAATTTTTAACCACTATGTGTTTTGATGTTAGCATGCTTTTCTAGACTAGTCACCTTGCTAGAGTGGATAAAAACTTGCTTCTAGAATGTTTTCCATGAAGTGTATTTCAGGTAGCTAGATACTGTTTGATACAGTTTATACCGTACTGTGCTTCTCTCACATATGTAAAGAACAAATACAGAACAATTACAAACTGTATATATTACATACATTGACGGTTAAATACTGTAAATAATACATGGCTTAGCTGCATTATTTATTAGCATCTGTTATTATGTCTGGTTTCTGTGTCAGTCTACTTTACTTACCCAAGTGAATAGTAAAACTTTCTTCTAACAGCCTTTGCTCTTCATAAATTCTTCCATTTCCTTCTACAGATTCTCTCAGTTGACTGGGCTGAAGCTTAATTTCATCACTAAAATAATGAGAAACATACTGAAAAGTTTATCCTAATTTTTGTTCAAGACCAACAATATCTTGTGAAAGCTATCCAAAGTTTTCTCAGCTAGCCTGTGGAAACCAAGAGACTAAACTTATTTGAATGAACTCCACTCATCTGAGGTTTTACCTTTCTGGCATGCAATATTCCAGGTGCATACCAGCAGAAAGAGTAGACTCCACTGTTAGATTTACATTAGCTACCTCATTTGTAAAGCATTCTGAGATTGAGAAATAAAAATAAATCACAATACCTAGTTATAAAATAATAAGAACATAGGAATAAAAGGAAAAAAAAAATTCTTCTCAGCCTATTTATAATAGCCAAAACCTTATTTATAAAGTTACTAGACAAAACATTTCTTTCCCCCCCCCCACATAAAATGGGAGGTTTTGTGAAGCCAAGTCAAATGCTCCACAGTGTTCAAACTTAGCAGGAAGTATTTCAGATATCTGTTTTAATTTTTTTGCTAAATTCAACTGTAAGTGATATAAGTACTGTTTCTGCTACATGAAAGAACATGAACATCTCTCCAACTTGTTTCTGTACTGATGAAAAGTTTCTCTTTGTTTTCAAAGTGCCCAATCTTCAAAGGTGTTTCAAAGGTGTTTTATAAACTTGCAAGCAATTCCACTAATTGCAAATGCCTAGTGATGAGGTAGAACTGAGATACACCATTAATAAATATAAATACACACATATAAGCAACTAGATGCATAAAAATATATACGTGCGTGTATGTGTATATATTTCTTTGATGCCTACGTATGTGTGTAACACACATGCATTTTTGTCTCTCTCTCACTTTTTAAGCTTCTAGTTGCCCTACTGTAGACTTCCTGTGCATTATTTTCAAATGCACTAGGGACCTATAGTGTTTGGGGCTCAACACAAGCGGAGAGATCATACTTTCTGCTAGGTTATGCGAGTGCAATGATTCAAATACTAATCACTTCACATCTGTTATAAGCATCCAAGATTATCAAGCCAAAACATCCTCACTCTCTCTCAGAAGTCCTTGCCTCTGGACCTCTAGCAGTCCATCTCTTCTAGCTTTCAGCTCTAATGAACTTCACCTTGGTCTTATTTTACAGTAGTAGAAGGCCAGGACATGGGAAGATGTTCACAGTGGTAGGAATGAATAGCCTTTGTAATTTCACTATCTTTAAAGCCTATGGAAATAATCAACAAAGCTAACATGAAAATTCTGTGGAAAAATATTTTAGGATTGGGCTTAGAGCTTGAAGCAGACTGTCATTACTGCAGTGATGTTTTACCTGGTCACTAGGTCAGAAAGAGGCCAGCTTGCTTGTGAGCTATGCAGTCCTAGGACATTCTGGGACTAACCTGAGAACTTCCAAAACATAAATTCACAGACAACAAAATTGCGAGGAAAGTAGTGAGAAATCTAAACATACAGCATCATCTTCCAATATCTTTCCCCTCCTCTTTCTCTTCCCTCACGTTCCATACACTCAGCTTCCTTATCCCAAAAGGAAACACTTAAGAGAAAGCGATGAAGTATTTCACATGTTATGATCCATGCCTGTCTCCTCTTATCACTGGCATCCGCTTTGTTCAAAGGTGTTGTGTTTCCCATAAATTCCTTACTGCATCCACCTAAATCTACTCAGACAGGCTTTTCTACTAACGTAAGGCACGAGAAAGCATCAGGTTTTACTCCTATTTTTCTATTAGTAGCAAAGGTGGTGGTTACTAATGATAGAAAATAAGGATCTCCAAGTTACAAATTCTGATTTCCCTGTTATTTCCTCAATCAGAAAGCTTTTCATTCAACTCTCACCACAAGTGTTCACACTAAAAAATTCCATTTTTTTTAGCTGTCCAGTGATGTATATATAAAACAAACAAACAAAAACCACCAAGAAGAAAGAAAAAAAGAGGCTTATTCATTCAAAATGTATGATACTGTTACCATTTATTAAGCTACAATTATTCTGCAGAACATCCTTAAGTGGTAACAGGAAGCCTTGTGAAATAAAGATAAACATTGTAAATAAAGGCAAAATAGGAGGAAACGCCATTCAGCTCAAGTTGTAGTTTAGTGCATTACAACACTTTCTGGTACAGACAGGTTATAACATTACACAATGAAGAAACTCCTAAAAATATAAATATTTAATTATGGTGGTTTATTTGCCTTTGATTTGCTTTGATTAGCCTATTTAAATGGCTAATCTGAAATAGAGTTTACATAAAAGCAAGTCCTTTGAACTATTACAGATGGAAGCAAGCATCACAGAGGAATTAAATACCTGACTGAGCTGTTGTTGGGATTCTTTAGGTCCTGATGAAGCTTTATCACCCATTCCTGATATTCCTGCTTCTGGATAGCAGTAGATTGTTTTAATTCATTGGTCCATTTGTTCTCCAAATCCTAACAAGATGACAGTGTTAATTTGAGCGTTTTGGGTTTTCTTTTTAAGACAATTATTTGCATGACGTATTCTAGTTCACTGAACTTAGTTTACCTGCTGAGATTCAAAATGCTGAGCCGCTAATGAATTTACATCTTGGTCTGTTAGCGATTTCCCTAGCTCCTGCATCACCTTATCCATTTCAGCTCCTTGTCTGAAAGAGGCGCAAACGTAGATTTACAACAAGCAACACTTTCAAAAAATCTGGCAGAACACCCATTGTTGTTGATACAGTTACTGATACAAAGATCAGCTGTATCAGTCAGCTGGTCAATGCTCATCACAAGCAGAGATACAACTGAACACATAGCTGAAAGATACATCATGCAGTACTTTGTCCATCTGCTCATTTTGGAATTGGTATTCATACATTTAAATTCTGCCCTCACAGCTATTCAAAAGAAGGCACGACAGTACCTCCAGATACTCTAATACAACACTTCACTATCCTTACCATTAGAAGAGTTTTTGAAATAGACCTACTCAGTCCCTTGCTTTCCTCCCGCCCCAACCACAGATGATGAAGACAGGTAAACACCAGAAGTAAGCTAAACACACCTATTTTTAATAGCCAGATGAGCTTCCAGCTCAAACTACATTCAACAAGGGGACCTGGAGTTGAAGAGCTGCCCTGCTACCATGAGTTCATCCAATACCTTGTCCCTCCTTAGTGTTCTTAATCCCTGGCTTCCCTTAGTCTTCCACATTCAGCCCTTTCTTCAGCAAGGAATTGATTTACCCTGGCACAGATTTAGCAATGAATATCCAGAAAAGAAATCTGAGTTGAGGGTCGGGGATTCCAAGTCAGCTCCCGTGTGAACAGAACACCACCTACACTCATCTGGGATAGTCTCAGCTGCCACCGATGTATGGAGTTTCTTGATTACAACAAATAGATATGATAAATTCCACCAGAGTCAACACACAGCTATATCACACTAGAGCTCTACAACATTACTGCTCTTAGGATTAAGTGCTCTCCCTTCTAGATGCATACTTCAGAAGAGTCAAACAGGCAGCAGAAAGTTTTGCTAACACATTATTGGCAACATTTATTCCCAAATTAGAGATATGTAAGATTCAGTCTAAAAGAAACTATATAAACAGGTATGCATTGTATAATGTGAGCTTAAACAAACACAACTCAAGGAATATTGCCACTTAGAATGCTAAATCATACCTACTTAGAATATGCTGGCATCTCACAAGCTTCCCTAGTATTTAGTATCTATACTGTATCTATATTTGTGAGCATTCATTTTCCTTAACCGATTTAGTCTCGAAAAGAAAAAGAAAACTCCGCATTGTATGTGTTCCCTCTTGTGGACAAAGCAGCCACCTGCAACTTTTCAAGCTTATTTGGAAACTCGGGATCCCACGTAGACTTTCCTAAATTTCAAACTCAACAGTTTCCGATTTAAAGTTGGTTCAAGTCTTTTGCTCATGTTTTCACCCCATGGAACTTCCAATTTTTCATTTAAATTACATCATAACAAAGGCAAAACATGGTACATACATATACTTTATTTTCTAGATATCCTAAGCACTTAACGTTGCTATACCTCTTGTAATGTGGATAGAACAATGGAAATCAAACCTTACATTACTTTGATGGCCTTAGCTTTTATTATTTTCAGTGACTGAGGAGAATATAAGATAGTTGACCTTAACAATATAGACTAAGTTTTATATGACTTTAAAGAGGGAAACATAAAACTAAAATAGGGCTTACACAGACAAATACAAGTTGACACACGTTGTCCTATGAGTTGTATACACCCAGTGGCATGCACCCCTATTTAATGAGAGGGGGGGAAAAAAAAAAAGAAGGAATACCTTTCCCGTAGTTTTTTCAGCTCCACATCTCTTTCACTTATTAATTCTGAGATACTAACAAAATAATTGTGTTCCAGGTTTAACAGCATTTCAGAAGCTGGAGAATGTATCAGATCATGATAAACATCTGCAAAATCTTCATCCCAGCTGGTTTCTTCAGGTTTTGCATATTCTAATGTTGTCTAAAGATCATAAGAGATTTTAAAGCATATGGTACCTTTTAGGACATATAACGGTGGGGCAAAACCAACTGGGCATGCACGCTGTGGCACAACCTTCGACATACATGAATTATCTTTCCTAATTTGAACTTTCTGTATTCTGCTTTAGCTTTAACATTTTCTCCCTTCCCATATTCTTTCTCTTTCAAAGCAACTAACAGTAGAAACATTAAGGTTTTGACTACAGTGAGGAATTACCAATTTTCAGCCATCACTAACTTGGAAAGAACAATAATATCTACAACAATATTTGCAATAGATGAATTTTAGATAGGGCCCAAAACACCAGCTGTGCAAACAAAAATGTTTTGCTAGAAAGGATGACTAATCTCTGATGTCACTAGAATTTGATCAACAACACTGATTTAAGAAAAGCCATTCTTATTGAACAAAGAATGGTCCAAAGATGACAGTTTTGCAAGCTCCTTTATACTGAAACACTCCTTACGTTTGCAATCACTCCCACCAGATCCAGCTGATGAATTAAGATTGTATCATTGAAGTGTAGGTTAGAAATGTCACGAAATGATCTAATCCTAACCTTTGCACTCAGGCTAACCTATTCATAGAAACCGCTAGCACAGAAGACTGTAAACTCTTTCAACGTTCTATCACATTCCCATGCTCGCCCAATACAGTTTTTTTCCTTCTTAAAGGTTAAGTTAATTTCATTTTGTTGACGTTCATTAAGGCAGATGATTCGCTTCCAATTCTCTTTATAGCAGATGTATGTTTTGGAATCTTTCACAACACTCTTCTATATTCCATGATAAGCAAATTCAATTCCTACAGACTTTTCCTCAAATGCTGCAGTTTCTGTCATTCTTTTTTTCTGTTCACTAGGACTCCTCCAGTTCTTTTGCATTCCTCTATTTTGAAGATCACATGCAAAACTGGACGCATTACTCCAGCTAAAGCCTCATCATTGCTAAATAATGTAAAATACTCACATGAACTCAGAAAATGAGCTGAAAATTATCTCCCAACTATACACTTTCTCTTTGGAGCCTTCATTGCTATTATTGAGATTTAGGATAGGAGTACCAGTTTCCTATCTCTTGCTTTGCTTCTAATGCACTATAACCCTTACGTCTATTTTTGCTTGAATATCACTAGCTATTTACCTCTCAATTTTGTATCTTCTGACTCTACTAAACTCAGGAAAAACCTGACTGAGAACTTGTAGGATAGAAAGACTTAATGATCACTTTCAGATAAAAAGAAAAAACTGTAAGAATTGATCAGTGAAAGTGAATTTCAGTGTAATTTTGCATCTTCACAGATGTGATTCTGTCTGTACACGTGTACACACTCTCACAAAGCAAGTCCTGAATATCAACTTTTCAGCCTTAATCTTACCTCTTTATAAGCTTTAGCCCAAGTATCTGCCAGCTGGTTTATGTCTACTTTTCCTGATTTCACTGCTTCCAGAGCCAGTTCAGCTTCTCTATCATAATCTTTTATAGTTTCCTCTTCTATGAACTTATTAAGAGATTGCTTCAGGTCTATTATAACAAGAAGAGAATGGTCCATCAACAAAACATGTCAGTGGAAGTATCGGTAATCATCTAGGAAACAAAGTTTTTCTGAAAACCTTTTACTTGGGCATCTTACTTGCTAGTACTGACAGTAATTTTCTTTAATGTTTTGCTGTTTTAAAAACAATTTTTTTAAGACTGTTCTAATAAATACCCTTCTTGTGGTTTCTTAAAGCAGGTTGTAAGACACTTGCGGACATGGATATATGATACTAATTTAAGAAATAAATTCTTACCATTTTCTATAAAGCATGGCAGATTGTGCAGAAGCATTAGACGTCCATGCAAATGACTAATATTCTCTTGCACAGGGAATTTGAGAGGCACGGTAAGCACTAGATGTTGATTTCCAGCATTGAATTTGTACACATAGTCTCTCTCCCTAGTGCAGGTCCTTCCTTTATTAGGCTTCATCTTCTGGAATTGATTTCCTGCATTAGAAATGAAAATAACATGAGTTATATTCTTGTAAAATCATAAGTAAAAAATGCTAACTAAAACCATGACCATGTTAATAACAGCTTCTGGCAAGAAAACTTAAACCCCCAAGTTTTTCATAGATACTCATCTCAATTTTGACTTCCAAATACTAAGTTCAAACTGAAGCATAAATACCAGTTTCCACAACACTGAATGCTTCTAAACTGTAATTTAGTGTATCAATATATGAATTTGGGTAATTACTCTTACAAATTACAATATAAGCCTCCTGACTTAAAGGCAGAACCAGGACAGAAGGAATCCTCATAAATAGCAAACTTTAACTGAGACAATGTAACTGCTGCCATGCATGTCTCAAAATCTGAAATCCTTCACAGTGCATTAGGATTTTATTTCCTCCTCCTTTCTGTGGGTGGTAGGTGACTTGGGTGTGTGTGTGTGGAAATTGGCAATCATTTTTAGAAAAAGCTTATTTTGTCACTTTGTAACTGCTTTAGGATAGATTGCCATTATTTTAAAATAATACCATTAAAAATAAGCCGAAAGAAAAGCAAAAGAACTGTCTACAGGATGAAAATACAGGATAGAAGCACATACCTGCGTCAGTAACTTTTTCCCTCCGCTAAAGGCTCCTCCGCTCATTTATGTTCCTCTTTTTTGAACATTACCTGCAAAGCTGGACACATTACTCCAGCTGAAATCTCCCCAGTGAAACCTCCCCAGTGCTATAAACCATGGTCCAAGAAGAAAAGCAGAAAACGAAGGCAAAAAAAATTGTGTTTTCCACAGCAAAATTCATGGGATCAGTTTATAGTGTCGTGGTTGTTTTGTTGTTTTTTTATTTATTGTGAACATTTTTCCTACATGTTGGAAACGGATTAAACAAATCAGTTACAAATCGCTCCACGGTAACAACAAAAACCTCAGGGCAACCAAAGCTAAACCGAGGCGGTCTCCTGGCCCGTCACAGAGAGGGATTTCAACGGCACCACTTAGAAACACAAAACTGAGGAGCGTCTTTCCGCTACTCCCCGACGAAACGGGGTTTAGTTCCTCCCCTCAGCTCGGGGGGGGGGGGGGGGGCCCGCCCCCCGCCTCTGCCCCCAGCCCGGCCGGGCAGCCGCTCTGCCCCAGCAGAGAGGGCCAAACCCCCGCTCCAACACCGGCGCTGGTGCCCTCAGCTCCACCGCAGGCTCTGGGGTGCCAGACCGGTGGCCCACGCCGAGAGAGGCGGCACTACCTCGCGTTACTGACAAAGCAGAAGCAAAGCTGGCGGCGGGAGGGGAAAGGCCTGCAGGATCCCGCCCCCCTTTACCCCCCTCGGGAAGGCTCCAAAACCCCAGGGTAAACACAGCCCCTCAGCTCGGATGGGGCAGCGCCCACAGGGGCGGGAGCCGCTACCCCCGCCGCGAAGGGCAGGGGGGGCGTCCCCCCCCCCCCTCCCCCCCCCGG